CCTTTATTAAGGTCAAGATCACGGATCCAACTTATTTTTATATATTGAAAATGACCCTTTTATTTTAAGTCACCTTACAATTAAGTGTTTTCGAGCCTAAATCTTTGGAGACCTTAAAAGAGGAGTGTTAACTTTATATAAATGTCTTTTTATTATTGTATCTAATACTATTAGCCTAGTGGACATGGCATCTGCCCGGTAAGCGGAACACTGTGGGTTCGATTCCCATCCCTGGACACTTTTATTTTTCCGTTTATCATTACACTTCACAATTCATCCTTTCATACCTCATCCCTAAGGTAAGAAATAGTCGTTATTTCTCCTTAAAATAAATTTTGATTTTTCGTTTAAAGGAAACACATGCGGTATGGTTTTCAAATGTCGTCTTACAATTAACTTTCAAATTGCTTGAGAGGTCAGAAGATATACCTTGTCTGACCTTCTTCTTCTATTTCTTTTTACTCCTTCTTTCTCTTTTAAGGTTTTCAGCGTACTTATACAAATTTGGCTTAAATTAATTATTTCTTGATTTTTCAAGGAGCCTTTTCGAATACCTTGTTGGATTGATTGGGTACAGTCTCTACCACGCTGACTAGCCATTACCTAAAAGGCATATGTGGTTGATTTTTATTGATATATCAATAAAATATTTTAGCAAATCTGTTGGAATTTACCTAATAATGAATGATTAATTGATTTTTATTCTGATAGATGGCGTTTTCCCATCTAAAAATTCTCATTTGAGAATTCTGGATGTGCCTATTTAATCGTGATGGTCAACATTTTGTGTTAATCTGTGATATACAATTTTAATTATTAAAATAAGAACATTAAGCCTCCAGGGAAAAGATCTTATTTTATTGGCGTTTTAATAATGTAAAATATTTTCTCCTGTAGAAAGGCTTTCTTGCCCGAAAGCTTGAGAGATTTTTAAATAAAAAATATTTTAAAAATAAACTTTTCCCTGGAGACTTAATGTTCTTGTTTTAATATGGATTCAAGGGATTGTTTTATCAAATATAATTTTAATGATTAAACTTTTCTTTCTCTAACAAAGACACCTACTAATGTATCCGGGAGTTCTAAAAGATTTATTGCGATTCTATAAAATAAATACACCTATCCCCCGATTTACACGGTACTTGTTTTACACGTTTTCGCTTTTACACGGTTTTCCAAATAAGTTTTTTTTTTTTGTTTTTATCGCACTATACTAAATGTTACTGTGATTGAACACATGCGCTGTGTACACATCTCACGAGGAATCCCGAGCTTATGTGCTGACTTGCTGCACACGCACACTGTCTGTAATTCTTCGCATAAATATTTCGCAAACATTTTAAATTTTCGATTTACACGTTTTTCTCAGGAACGTATCTACCGTGTAATTCGGGGGATAGGTGTATTAACTAAATATATTTTTAATAAAACATTGTGACCATAAATTTATAAATAATTTTTCTTACAATGAGTAACATTTTAAAAGCTTTTATTCAACTTGCGTCTATGTATGTTTGTCCACAAATCTTGTGGTCAATTTTTAATATACAGTTAAAAACCTGTCTATAGCGCCCCCTCTAAATAGCGCCTCCCTCTCTATAGCGCCCGATTTTAAATACGTAGTACGATGCGATTTACATTAAAAGTGACCGGTCTATAGCACCCCCTCTCTATAGCATCCTATTTTGGCGAGTCCCAAGAGGGGGCCCTATAGACAGGTTTAACTGTACTTATAAAACACGTAAAAATCTGAAATTTGGTATACTAGTTTATTCCCGATGACAATGCAATTTGACAAAATTTAAGATTTCTATGTGCTCTATAAGTATAAAAATTGATCACGCGTTTTTTAAAACTAAAGTCCGATGGTTCATCACCATGGAATATTATGACCGATCCCTTGAGTTTTTTTACTCATATCTGCATTTAAAAGAAAACTCTCTTATTAAAATATATAATAAAATTGCGTAAGATAGTTTATACATTACTAATATTATTTTAGGATTTAGAATTTTTTTGAATAAGAATTTTAACTTACCTAGTAGTTTAATACCTTGTAACGTTTTTTATATTGAAAAAAGATTACTGGTCTTCGATTTTTTTTTCATAAATTTTACCGGACCAAAAGCCAAAAAAAAAAAGGTTAAGAGCGTCTGCTTTAAAGGACACTTTTGACTTTGCAACTAGGTGTTATCTTTTAAAGAGAGGTTCTACTGTAAAATTTATAAAAAAGAAAAATACATACAACAACACACACACGCAAAACACGTTTGTAATTTGAGCTGTTGTCAGTTTTATTTACATAATATGGTTGTGAAAGCGTTCACTTTTCATAGTGTTCCCTTCAGTGGAGTATTTGCATATTTTTATAGGAAAATATAGGTTTCTCACAAACCACTAAAATACTTACGCTCGGTCAAAATTACAATAATAAAAAAAGTATATTTTTGCGTAAGTAATGTGTGTATGTGAGGGGAAGAGAGGGGTGGATCTTAGATTCCATAAGAGATTTAATCACAAAAAGGTAATGGAATTAATTGATCATTTTTAATGCTAAATAAAGAAAGAAAAGCAATATATATGGCTACCGTGTGGGGATAATTAAAAAAAATCAATTTATCATTTTAATTGAAGCAATCCATGTTTATACTTGGCAAGATTTCCCCATTTCTACTTCCGCCTAGACCAATCCGAGACCGTGTTTGCATATCACGTGACCATGGCCGTGACGGTGACCTTGCCCAAGGTCGTCGTCTGATGGTTTATTAGTTTTCGTCTGCTTCCATGTTTCGCTTTACGTTCATGATAGTTGCAACTTTGTCATTTGGTAGCCTAGTGAATGCATTACATTTTCGAAATAGTTAAAAATAATATTTGTAATATGATGCACTAGCGCGCCATCTGTTATCAAAATTCGAAACTATTTTAAACGCGTAAGCTTCTTTTCGAAATTAAACAATTTCTACTGCCCTTACTGCAATGAAAAAATTAAAGGGAGGGCCTGGCTCATCAGTGGTGAACCCTCCCAGCGGTTTCGCCAGTTTAATTTTTCCATTGCAGCAAAGGGCAGTAGAAATTGTTTAATTTCAAAAAGAATCTTACGCGTTTAAAATTGTTTCGAATTTTAAAAATAATATCAATAAAAAAATAGATATAATAATTATTATTATTCTCTTACACACATTTATTTTGAACTTTTAATTTGATAGTTTTAATAAAGCGATGAGAGAGTATTGATAAAATATTGATAACGATATAATAGAAATTGATGAGATTTCTTCCCCGGTTTTCATATTCATTACTAAAACGAAACCTTTAACTAGATAAAAATTCACTTAATTTTAAAGACGTATTGATGAATATCACACTTTCATTAGGAACGAAAAATATAATTCTATATACAGTTACGGGCGTCATTCTTCATCAGTCGTCTCTGTCACCGTTTGCTTTTTTTTTTGGAATGGCGCCCTCCTATTGGTTGGCTACGGTCACGCCACCTTTGCCCCCTCCCTCGCCATTTCGTCTTTGTAACTATTGTGTTGGAGCGGGTCGCTCCCTAAATAAATGCATATATTAGATAATAACCAAATGGAATCCTCTCTTTCTTTTTCCCAGTAAGAGACGCCTACAGAAGCCAACAGTACATAGACAGATAAAGCACATAGGCTATAGTTATTAACTAACATATGCATTTATATAAGGCGCCAATTATTAATTGTAACAAATAGTATTTGAATCAAAACATTCAATCGGGTAAAACACGGGCGTTGCCCCGGGTCATTCGGCTAGTGAACAATAAAAAGCATAAGATATTTAAAAATCGAAATTTGACAAAATTTTGATCCTGATTAAGGCAAATGGTAGTTGCCTATGCACCACGGAAGGAATAATATTTAGCTGAGAGGTGTTCTTTTGCTAATGAAAATGATTTAGAGACAGTATAGTTGATATTTAAAATTAGTAAATTTATTTGTGTCGCTATCCAGAGCTCTAAAAACGGAATAATGTGAAGAAAACCTCAAAGGAAAAGACAACATGGAAGGCTATCACATATCTGATAGACTATCTATTAGAATAGACAGGAAGTTTGAACTTTGCAGCCTTAAAAAAGAGATCAACCTGTCTCAAACAATTATTTGGTCCTCAGACTGGGAAAATCTGTGGGAAAAAAAAGATCGCAGAGATATGTGTTTTTTTAATAAAATATTTTTAAACTGGGTATTAAAAAGATTTATTACATATTTTAAAATGTTCTTATTTTGTGTTTCTAAATCTCAAAATTAAGGTATTAACGTAATAAAATATCGTACCAAATTTTACTACTGTTTTTTATAAGTATTTTTTTTAAAGGGCAGACAGGTTCCATCTAGGCATTACATCATTCCATTTAAGCATTCCATCGTTCCATCCAAGAGTCCCATCGTTCCATCCAGGAATTCCATCCAGGCATTCAAATCATACCATTCAGGAGTTACATCGTTTCATCCAGGCGATCCAATCATTCCATCCAGGCATTCAAATCATACCATTCAGGAGTTACATCGTTTCATCCAGGCGATCCAATCATTCCATCCAGGCGTTCCATCATTTTATCCAATCATTCCCTTCAAGCATTTCATCGTTCCATCCAGGAATTCCATCATTCTATCTAAGTATTCCAATCATTCCATCCAGGAGTTCCATCATTCCCTTCAAGCATTTCATCGTTCCATTCAGGCATTTTATCGTCCCATCAAGGCGTTCCATCCAAGCATTCCAATCATTCCATCCAGGCGTTCCATCATTCCATTCAGGAGTTCCATCATTCCATCCAGGAGTTTCAATAATTCCATCCAGGAGTTGCAATAATTCCATCCAGGCATTTCATCGTTCCATCCAACATTCCATCGTTCCATTCGAGCATTCCTTCCAGGAATTTCATCGCCCCATCAAGGCGTTCCATCCAGGCGTTCCATCATTCCATCCAGGAGTTTCAATAATTCCATCCAGGCATTTCATCGTTCCATCCGAGCATTCCAATCATTCCTTCCAGGCATTTCATCGCCCCATCAAGGCGTTCCATCGTTCCATCCAAGCATTCCATCTAGAAGTTTCATCGTCCTATCCAAGCATTTCATCATTCTATCCAGGAGTTCCAATCATTTCATCCAATCATTCCATCCAGGCGTTTCATCGTTCAATCCAGGCATTCTATGATTCCATACAAACATTCCAATCATTCTATCATTCCACATTCAGGCATTCCAATCATTCCAATAAAACTGAAACAAACCTCTTTACAAAGTATTTTCTTGATGAAATGACTTATTAACGTTATAAAATGGACAAATTGGCTGAATTCTGAGTTATCGATGGTGCAAAAAAAGAAAAAAAAAGGTCGAATGTGTGTGGGTCAGATATTACGGTCAAGACGTGGAGGAAGAACGCCAGTGTCAAGGACGTCTGGAATGGGAACACGCTCCACATTGGATTCCGCCTGTTCCGATTTTTTAATTCCTTTTCTTTGGTCCTGGGGTCACCGCTCTCCTTCCTTCTTCACTGGAATTCCACACACCCTCTTCTTCTGCTTCTAAATATATATTCTTCTTTTCGTATTTCATTCACCACACCCTCTTCTGCTTCTAAATATATCATTTTCCTTTCGTATTTCATTCTCAATGGTCTTGTTTTCGCCATCGAGTGTTCTTGACTCTCCCCTATCCTATTTTTACCTCATATATATTCTTTTTTTTTTTTTTAAATGTTCTCTTTTTTTTTTCGCCCTTTATTTGAACTTTTTTAAATGCTTTTTTTTTCTCGTTAAATTATACCGCTGGTATCTTGATTTCTTTTTACGTTCTTAGATAGAATTACTATTTTGATACCCATATGTAAATATTTACAATATTTTAAATATTAAAATACGTAGGGCGCCATCTGTTATTGAATTTTGAAACTATTATAATGATTTTTTTTGGTTTGTTAGCAGAATAAAATAATTGTCTACTGTCCTTTTTGTGATGAATTTCGTAGAGGTCTTAGATTGAAAATTCTATTCGATGTCATTTGATATATAGATTTTAATTTTAAGTTTAAAAACATTTTAGCACATTTTTATTTAAATTTTTAAATAAATTCTAAAATATAAGGTTTTGTGTTTTTCTTAAAACGTTGTTTTTCTTATTACTTGGCGAATAATATTATTACGGCGAATACATAATAATACAATTACTTTATACATAATACAAAGACATTATACATAACGGCGAATAATATTGCTATTTAAATTTCTTTACAAGTGTTTACGAACTTTTGGGACAACCTTGTAATTTTATGGATAATTTTTTTAAAAGAATGTCTTGTTCAAATGGCGAATCCTCCCAACTTTTTTTCATATTTCAATCTACCACATACCGCTTTATATATTGTATTGTATATTTTTTTATTTGGGTTTTATAGTAAGATTTTTGGCAGTTTATTCTTGGTGATTGAATTAAAGGAAACGATGTATAAGTTTTGTGATGGTAGAAATGTGAAACACAAGCATCAATTTATTTTACAGAACAAAACTTTCTTATTTATTTGTTAATCAACCAGGCGCGATATTGAAATTTTTGCGCCTATTACAGAGGAAACAAACAAAACAACAAACAAATTAGAACTTAGAATTAAATATTTACATGTATTATTCTACAGATTTCATAAAATTTATATAGACAAAGTGGCTGAGATAAATCAGAGAACAATCGATGTCTCACTTCTGTAAAGTTCGAACAGTCATAGATAAGGTGAAGAGCAGTTTGTTCAGTTTCTCCGCAGGATCAATTTGGTGTTTCTGATAGACCTCTTTTATGTAAGTATTTCTGGACCGTGTGATGTGACAAATTGAGTGATTATAAAGTTTGGATGAAACTGTGTAGGAATTTCGTTTAGAAAAATATTGCGAATTGTATAATTATAGAACAATACTTGTTACTTGTTCTACCAGCTAATTTCCATAGTTCAACTGGCCCAGCTGTTAGTACCCTTCCGTTGTACATGCTTTTGGTTCGAAAACACAGGAATTTCTTGTAGGATTTTAATATTTATACGAACTTTTCGAGCCTTTCTGCCCTTCAACGGGAATAAAAATAAGAACTAAGGTAATACTTACATCAGTTGAAGGAATTGTAAGGTTCAAAACTTCATAAAAACGGTATTTTCCAATAAAATATTTTTTTCATCCTCCCTGCATTTTTGTCGTAATATATTATGATGCATTAGCGCACCATCTGTTTTGAAAATTCGAAACTATTAATATTATAGACGCGTATGATTCTTTTTTAAAAATAAAACAAATTATACTGCCCTTACTGCGATGGAAAAATTAATGGAAGTCGCAGTAAGGGCAGTAGTAATTGTTTTATTAAAAAAAAAAAGAATTATTATATCGTCTATAATAGTTTCGAATTATCGTCATATATAACTATAGAATTCCTGGTCAATAATGTGAAAAATACTTCTGTGAGCGTGACTTCGGCGGCTTTTGACCAGTGACCTGAGACAAATTTCCTCACACGGCCGAACGACTTACCGTTAGATCAACAGTTCCACACTTCGTAATAATACCTCAAGTTATTCTGAAAAATTATTGAATTTTGTTACAAACGACTCATTCTGTAGATAGGTTAACTATTGTCTGTTTGCTTGAATTTATCCCGCAGTGTGTCGACAGGCTAATATTTGAGTGCGTTGTTTCTCAATGAATGTATCTTGTTGGGTGATGGAGCCGCATGCTGATGTGGCCAACTGTCCGGGTTGTTGGTCTTCAGACTTATTGTCCGTTGTTGACATTCAGCTGATCAGATGTCGCCAACTGTCAGGGTTGGTCTTCAGACTTATTGTCTCATTGTTGATACCCAGCTGATGTCACCAACTGTCGGGTTGTTAGTCTTCCGAATTATTGTATATATAATAAAGTAAGAAATTCATCCTAGGAAGCCGTTTTATTTTTTATTCTTTCTTCTTTAAAGTGACCCAGATTTCTGGAAAATCTTCCAAGAACTAAACCTGCTTTGTGCCATCTCACGAATTGAACCTCCACAGCCATTGTGAATAAAGCAAAAAAAGACTTAAGTCTCTAAAGGACAACCCGGGTATCACAAGAAGTATCTGTAATATTTGCATACTGTCTATTTCTAAAGCTTTTAGATATTTTATATAATTCAAGACGTACTTAAATTTTTTATAGTGAATTACACTCATTGACAAAATTTAAGGAAATGGAAAGTCTTTAATGCCGCGTTAGCCTGTTATCTTGAAAGAGACAAAGGCAATTTTGTTCATACTTGGTTATCTCGTGTATCTTCAATAAAGGTCACTGTAATATATTTCAGAGTTATTGTCCGAATCCCGATATACATGCTAAAATGTACAACTTCCTTAAGTTTTGTCCATGAGTGTATCTTTCAGAGTTATTGTCCGAATCCGATATACATGCTAAAATGTACAACTACCTTAAGTTTTGTCCATGAATGTATCTTTCAGAGTTTTTGTCTGAATCCCGATATACAAGTTCCTTAATTTTATCCATAAGTGTAGTTCCGTATAAAGTATTCTATTGGCTATATTTGTTTTTTATTTTTGTACAAGTTGCTACTAATCATTTATGATTGTCCAGAGATATCACCATCTATCGGCAAATTGAAGCAAAATACCAACAGACGAAATACCCACGGGCCTTATCATTTGATTGGTCGGTGGGATTTTCGTCTGTCTGGATTTTGCCTATAATCTTCTGTTTCCAAGTTCAAGTAAATTTTTATCTGCTGATTTATTCACAGAAGAAATTTCCGGGTGAGTATAACTCTTCTCTCTGTAGATATATGTACTCTGTAAATATCATCATCTTTTTCTTAAGGCCATCTTTCTGTGACAATCGAGAGACATTTTGACACACATTTTTCTTAGAGTTAAAAACTCTTTCTACAAACGATAAGGTACAATTTGGATAATAGATTATAAACACAAGGTAATAAGACAAAACCAAAAATATAAATAATGTGTAACATTTCGGTAACAGCATTGTTAACATTATAATTTTTGCTAATTCAACAATTTTGTCTGAAGATTGTAACAACGCTGTTACTTAAACGTCACATACTATTTATTTATTTATTATTTGGTCTTATTACTTTGTGTTTCTTTCTAAAAACCTTATACACACAAAAAAGCTTTATTAAGACCAGCGGTCTTATAGAGATTCACCACAGTAAGAAATAATAGATGGAGCTCCTATACTCCAGGTAGCGCAGCACCCAACAACAGTCTCCTGGTCCGTACAAACCTTAATGTTTTCATTTCTTATATTTTTTTTACGAAATAAACAAGCAATCCAGGGTCAGATTTCTATATCCTTACTTTGTGGCCAGCCGGATGGGGACGCCACACATCCGCCCTAAAGAGGCTCCACCCTGACGACGACTCCAGTCCCCCTCTTTACCGACCTCCCAACGCTCCAAGGAGGTCACATGCACGCCCCCTCCACTCTCCAGGAGGAGGGCGATGCTCTAGGCACCACAGATTTCTATTTAAAAATAAAGAAGGCATATCCTGACCACGAGCATATGTGCTTTTTAGTGGCAGAGCGCCATCTAGTGGAGCAAAAAATAAACTAAACGTTTATTTAACTTGCTCCGTGATATTTGGCCAACCCAATTTCTTGATAAATCAAGAAAAGCCATCCACAAACGCTGTTGGCGCTCGTCAGCGTGGAGTAGGCTGTACCACTGCGACCAAAAAGATTTTTGGTCCCAGAGGCTTCTTGAGAAACCAAGAAATGGGTATTTAAGGCCAAATTTGCGTAAATACGCCTAACACATGAAAAAAACAATAGAAAGATTTCTATATAAATAAAGAAGCCTGACCACATGAATGATTTCTTATTGATTTCGTTGAATTGTAAAAGCAGTAATGAATATGCATTAAAACCTTATACTGAAATGCTAAAAATTATGAGAGGACCTAGCTCATCAGTGATGTACACTCCTAGCTGTTTCGCCAGTTTAATCTCCAAACTTCTCTACTCTAGTATCAGAGAGGCTCTTTGTTTTATAAAGTCTGTTTTTTGTTTATGGAATACAGAGTAACTCAAATTATCCTGTGACTTAAAATGTCTTTATTCTTCATTGCCAATCATTTTGCACAATGCCATCGCTCTGATGCACAATTAAAGGGAGAGGTGCCTCTTTTGGTAAATGATTATCATGCTCCCACAAATGTTGTAATCTTGCCTGAAAAACAGCGGCCCCCCTTGCTACTTCACCAGCTTAAACACCTGTTTGGTAAATTTGACATAACTCCTCTCGTAGGATGTTATGAAGCCGTCCCTGTACTGATGAGGGTCATAGCCTTAAACCATGGTATACAGGTTACAATTATTACAATTATTTTATTTCCAAAGCGCTATATCCCGCAAGGGATACTTGCGCCAAACAAGGAGAAATTTTTATTTACATAAGTTATTTACATTATTCGACGCATGAAAACATTAGAGATCTGTTACGTCTTATTTAAGGTCCTATTGAGGACGTTTCGGACTTAAACTTTGGTTTAGCTCAGCAACAACAATGTTTTAATTATATACCAACGTGGGTCAAAATTTAGATACACACATAGAAAGATAGCGAACACCAAAAGGTTCATACATAGTTTATCCATAGTATACATTTACTTCCTCTTATCCCTACTTTACGAGTAGAATCATTTAAGGCAAATTCATTAAACCAATAAGACCACTGATGGTTAGTGGACCTTGTTTAGTATATATTTGTATTTATTTAAGGATAAAGTATTACAAACACACTTTTAAAATAGTAAAACATGAGTTTTTATTTTACCTCGATAGATTTTACAAACTTTCATTTGTAGACAATTCTAAGTAGACATAAAATTTATTTTTAGCAAATTATAAGACTTCATGCAAAATATGATTTTTACCTATTAAATAAAACTATGAATATGCCTTTTCGACATATAAAACGAGCCCTTTATGGGCTCATACCTAAAAATTAATAGAGAAAATATTAACCTACCATTTCTCTCCAGACACCATCCCCCAGCCTCCCATCAGGTCGCGAGCCCTCTCAAGACCGTCCTCTCAGTTCGCGTACTTCGTCCTGACTCTAATTTTTAAAAGGTGGCGCCCTCAAAAATTATCCTCTTACAGAGTAAAAAAAAATTAATTTAAATTTCCCAGAGTATATTTAAAAAATAATAAGAATAAAATATTATTATTTTTCTCTTATTAAAAGAAAATTTTGAATTAGTAATAAAATAATAAAATCTAACATGTTTACCCCTTGAAAATTTTATATAGTAATTTCTTCTTTAAGAAAATTTTAAAATAAGGAAATATACCCAATTTATCTGGATATGCCTGTAATTGGCTTTATTCATTTTAGAATAAAAAAATAAATTTCGAAATTTCTCGAAATGGTAATATAACTTTTTGGACGTTTCACTTGCATAAAAAAAGGTGATTGGCAATAATTTACATATATATAGTTTGTACACCCTCCTCTGGACCTTTCTGCAGCGGGCTTCGGGATACTTGGACAGGGTCAGAGTCATCTCCAACTGGGCGTCTTCCCCGGCTTTGGCCTTTAAAGGCATAGTACACCCCCCTCTGAACCTTTCTGCAGCGGGCTTCGTGATACATGGACAGGGTCAGTGTCATCTCCAACTGGGCGTCTTCCCCGGCTTTGGCCTTTAAAGCATCGTTGGCCATCGTTGGGGAATTCTCCATCTAGACAACAAACACTTCGGCAAGACACTGTGCATATATATGATGTAAATGTTTACATCATTGTTGGGTCTATTTTGTGAAAATCTGGCCCAACAGATCCAGATTTTGTAGAAAGTTTAGAATGTATTTTAAAAATGAATTGAACTTTAAATATGATTTTTTTTTTATCGGAAATCAAATCGTTAAGTTCACAAACAACTAGTTCATTCTTCATTCTATAATCTTGAAATGCTGGGCAATCGATCAGTAGATGTCTTGAGGTTTGTTCCTCAATACCACAAAAGCAATTTGAATCCTCCATTGCCTGTTAATTAATAACAAAAATAAATAGAATTTACTAAAAAGCCTTTATTTATTGCTTTTAATTTTAATTAAATTTTAAACATATTAAAGATAATATTATTTATTTACACATATAACTATATGTAAATTAGTAAATTAAATTTTATTGCCCTCTATCATTAAAATTTTACACAAATAAATTTACTGGCAATGCGTTTCTTTTTTTTTTTTATAAATCTCTACAGACCTTACTGCAATGATATGATTTAATGAATGAGAGGGCTTGGCTCATTCATTAAATCATATCATTGCAGTAAGGTCTGTAGAGATTTATAAAAAAAAAAAAAAAACGCATTGCCAGTAAATTTATTTGTGTAAAATTTTATATGTAAATTAAAGAACAAAAGAAAAGGAAACCAAAAAAACGTAAACATTGGCGACCGCCATTCTTCTTTGTCTGCCAGCAACTGTTCTATAGTCGATCCTGCGCAGGCGCACACCACGCCCGCCGCCACCGCGTGCTGCTCGATGGGGTCGTGTTTTCGAGCCGCTTGCCCACTAAAATGGATATTTAACACTGCCTTTATTCTATTTAAAAACTTTTGAAATTTCCGTGGTTTGTAACAATACAAGTTGTTAGCTTTTTGTCTGGATTTTCCAAAACTGGTGTTGTGGATTATTCTTTATAATCACTAGTAAAGTTTTTTACTGGGGTGATGCACAGTGCCCTCGTTCTGATGCACAATTTAAAGGGAGAGGTGCCTTTTATGATATATATATATATCATCATTAGTGAACCCTCCCAGCGATTTCGCAAGTTTAATCTGAAAGGTTCACCACTGATGAAGCCAGGCCATTGATTTATCCTTACAGTAAGGGCAGTAGAGAAAATGGTTTAATTTTAAAAAAGAATCAGACGTGTCTGTAATAGTTTCAATTTCTAATAACAGATGGCGCGCTAAATGCGAATTATATATAGAGAGGTGTAGAAAAAATATCCATAATTACATTTAGAAAACAAAAAATTTCTAAATTCTAAAATAATTTAAATATTTATCCTAATTCACTTATAACAAATATAACACAACACACACAAAGACACTTTATTAAGACACCAAAGAAGATCGGTTGACAAGTGGTTAACCCTTTAAGCACCAGGCAAGACGATGTATCGTTTTGATGTGATCGTGTTGATTGTAACTTTTTCTCCTTAAAATAATCAAATGAAATTTAATTAATTGTATTTTAAAGCGTATATTCAGTTGCATTGTGTTTCATAGGTTTGTATAAATTATAAAAGCGTTTATTTAAAAAAAAATAATAATTTAAAGAATAGTTTGATGTCTTTTTTGAAGGCTAACAATAATTAGGAATGACCTTGAAAACGGCCGGCACCTAAAACCCTCGATTCCCGACAGCCATGAACCAGGATCGAATCCTGTATTGGACACTTTTTCCTGTTAGAACCTGTTCATATTTTTCATTGTAAATAACCTAAGGTAGGTTTCTCTTTTTGAGCGGTACCTAATAAAGTTATTTTGGAACAGGAATAAGACACTAGTCCATGATAAATAAGAAAATCTTGAAAACATAACATTCAGAGAAGCCTGTAATTACAAACAAGAATTAAAGAGAATGAAACCCAAACCCAAGGCAACTCTTATATCAACTGAAAACAAACGTACTCGTAATAAAACGAAAGAAAAAACATAAAGCTAGCAAAAAAATAAACGAGGATAACAGCCCATCTTAGAAAAAAGAGCACTCCGAATTCAAGACCCCGCACAAGACTCTAACTTTGTAAATATGTAAATAAACTGTAAATGTACATATTATCCATTGTAAATATGTAAATATACTGTAAATGTATATATTATCCATTGTAAATATGTAAATATACTGTAAATGTACATATTATCCATTGTAAATATGTAAATAAACTGTAAATGTACATATTATCCATTGTAAATATGTAAATATACTGTAAATGTATATATTATCCATTGTAAATATGTAAATATACTGTAAATGTACATATTATCCATTGTAAATATGTAAATATACTGTAAATGTACATATTATCCATTGTAAATATGTAAATATACTGTAAATGTACATATTATCCATTGTAAATATGTAAATATACTGTAAATGTACATATTATCCATTGTAAATATCATAAGCTAGGTTTTCGAGCGGCGCCTAATAAAGTTATTTTGAAACCGGAGAGACCAGTCTTATACACACACACTTGCGGGCCTCGATTTTCGGGTCTGTCCCTCGAAGACTTCGCTATCCTGGCGTCGGCCAAATCCATCATCTACCGGTACTTCGTACAGGTTGGGCTGACCGGAGGACCCGCTCATCTCCTGGGAAAAAAGGCTCACCCGCCGGGGCACATCCCCCGGATGATCATCTGTATATTTGTTTATTTATTTCCATTTTTAATGTAAATTATTGACAAGAAGTCGAAAAATTTGTTTCAATTGTCACACACACACAAGGTCCTCGGGTTGGCCAAGAAAGAGCTTAACAACAGGCCATCCGTAGTGGCCCCACCGCCTCCGATACCTGCCCCGACGACCCATGAGCTCCAGTCAGCTCCTGCGCCCTCTTCGACCCATCCCTCTAAGAACAAGGTTTCCCACCAGCAGCTATCCCAAACATTCCACCAACTGAACGATACAACTCTCCTGAGCCCCCTGTATGAGGGCAATACAACCAGGGAGGATATCATACTTGCAATCTATTACGACTTTGATAGGGATGATCTTATAGGGCGACTCTCGCCTGAAAACAAGACTATTCTTGCTTATTACCTCAAGTATGTCATCGAGCATTTTGGGGACATTGACTCCACGACTGGCAGGAGCCTGTTAAAACTCAAAAAGCCTTTAAACTCCTTATAAGATCCAGACGACCCTCCGTCTATTTTAAATGTTTTTCTCTTCATTTTAAATCTAATTAACTTTACTATTATAACTCTCCTTGAGTGTATATATTGACGAGATGTTAATAAATTTGTTTTAATTGTCACACACACACAAAGCCTCTATTGATACATCAGTCTTATACACCCACACAAAGTCTTTATTAAGACACACCAGTCAGATCTGTCATTACAACGATATCCTCACAATGATCAATCATGTAGTGAGGACTTACTGTTATATAGGGACAGAGCAACCATTCGACATATATTTATACGATTATACACCCACACAAAGCCTTAATAAAGACACACCAGTAAGATCTGTCATTACAACGATATCCTCACAATGATCAATCATGTAGTGGAGGACTTACTGTTATTTAGGGACAGAGCAACCATTCGACATATATTTATACGATTATACACCCACACAAAGCCTTTATTAAGACACACCGGTCAGATCTGTCATTACAACGATATCCTCACAATGATCAATCATGTAGTGGAGGACTTACTGTTATATAGGGACAGAGCAACCATTGACATATATTTATACGATTATACACCCACACAAAGCCTTTATTGAGACACACCAGTCAGATCTGTCATTACAACGATATCCTCACAATGATCAAACATGTAGTGGAGGACTTACTGTTATATAGGGACACAGCAACCATTCGACATATATTTATACGATTATACACCCACACAAAGCCTTTATTAAGACACACCAGTCAGATCTGTCATTACAACGATATCCTCACAATGATCAATCATGTAGTGGAGGACTTACTGTTATATAGGGACAGAGCAACCATTCGACATATATTTATACGATTATACACCCACACAAAGCCTTTATTAAGACACACCAGTCAGATCTGTCATTACAACGATATCCTCACAATGATCAATCATGTAGTGGAGGACTTACTGTTATATAGGGACAGAGCAACCATTCGGCATATATTTATACGATTATACACCCACACAAAGCCTTTATTAAGACACACCAGTCAGATCTGTCATTACAAACGATATCCTCACAATGATCAATCATGTAGTGGAGGACTTACTGTTATATAGGGACAGAGCAACCATCCGACATATATTTATACGATTATACACCCACACAAAGCCTTTATTAAGACACACCAGTCTCTCATTACAACGATATCCTCACAATGATCAACCATGTAGTGGAGGACTTACTGTTATATAGGGACAGAGCAACCATCGACATATATTAATACGATTATACACCCACACAAAGCCTTTATTAAGACACACCAGTCAGATCTGTCATTACAACGATATCCTCACAATGATCAATCATGTAATGGAGGAATTACTGTTATATAGGGACAGAGCAACCATTCGACATATATTTATACGATTATACACCCACACAAAGCCTTTATTAAGACACACCAGTCAGATCTGTCATTACAAGGATATCCTCACAATGATCATCATGTAATGGAGGAATTACTGTTATATAGGGACAGAGCAACCATTCGACATATATTTATACGATTATACACCTACACAAAGCCTTAATAAAGACACACCAGTCAGATCTGTCATTACAACGATATCCTCACAATGATCAATCATGTAGTGGAGGACTTACTGTTATATAGGGACACAGCAACCATTCGACATATATTAATACGATTATACACCCACACAAAGCCTTTATTAAGACACACCAGTCAGATCTGTCGTTAAACGATATCCTCACAATGATCAATCATGTAGTGGAGGACTTACTGTTATATAGGGACAGAGCAACCATTCGACATATATTTATACGATTATACACCCACACAAAGTCTTTATTAAGACACACCAGTCAGATCTGTCATTACAACGATATCCTCACAATGATCAAACATGTAGTGGAGCACTTACTGTTATATAGGGACAGAGCAACCATTCGACATATATTTATACGATTATACACCCACAAAAAGCCTTTATTAAGACACACCAGTCAGATCTGTCATTACAACGATATCCTCACAATGATCAATCATGTAGTGGAGGACTTACTGTTATATAGGGACAGAGAAACCATTCGACATATATTTATACGATTATACACCCACACAAAGCCTTTATTAAGACACACCAGTCAGATATGTCATTACAACGATATCCTCACAATGATCAATCATGTAATGGAGGAATTACTGTTATATAGGGACAGAAGCAACCATTCGACATATATTTATACGATTATACACCCACACAAAGCCTTTATTAAGACACACCAGTCAGATCTGTCATTACAACGATATCCTCACAATGATCAATCATGTAGTGGAGGACTTACTGTTATATAGGGACAGAGCAACCATTCGACATATATTTATACGATTATACACCCACAAAAAGGCTTTATTAAGACACACCAGTCAGATCTGTCATTACAACGATATCCTCACAATGATCAATCATGTAGTGGAGGACTTACTGTTATATAGGGACAGAGCAACCATCGACATATATTTATACGATTATACACCCACACAAAGCCTTTATTAAGACACACCAGTCAGATCTGTCATTACAACGATATCCTCACAATGATCAATCATGTAATGGAGGACTTACCGTTATATAGGGACAGAGCAACCATTCGACATATATTTATACGATTATACACCCACACAAAGTCTTAATAAAGACACACCAGTCAGATCTGTCATTACAACGATATCCTCACAATGATCAATCATGTAGTGGAGGACTTACTGTTATATAGGGACAGAGCAACCATTCGACATATATTTATACGATTATACAACCCACACAAAGCCTTAATAAAGACACACCAGTCAGATCTGTCATTACAACGATATCCTCACAATGATCAATCATGTAGTGGAGGACTTACTGTTATATAGGGACAGAGCAACCATCGACATATATTTATACGATTATACACCCACACAAAGCCTTTATTAAGACACACCAGTCAGATCTGTCATTACAACGATATCCTCACAATGATCAATCATGTAGTGGAGGACTTACTGTTATATAGGGACAGAGCAACCATTCGACATATATTTATACGATTATACACCCACACAAAGCCTTTATTAAGACACACCAGTCAGATCTGTCATTACAACGATATCCTCACAATGATCAATCATGTAGTGGAGGACTTACTGTTATATAGGGACAGAGCAACCATCGACATATATTTATACGATTATACACCCACACAAAGCCTTTATTAAGACACACCAGTCAGATCTGTCATTACAACGATATCCTCACAATGATCAATCATGTAGT